CTGAAGTTTTTCATCCTGTGAGCTGCATGAGTCTGTACAGTACCGTGAACAAAAGCTCTTCCGTCACCAGATCCACTTCGGCTCATACCAGTTTTCTAAGTAATGCATTCACAGATTCCCATAGCTCTGGAAAGCATGACCTTTTGTTCTTTCCCAATTTGTTCTGATTTGACTTAGTGGTATGGTCTTGGCATTTTTGCAAATGTTCTTGATTTCCACCCACTAAAAGAAATATATTTTTAAAAATATATATTTTATTGATTTTTTACAGATAGGAAGAGAGAAGGATAGAGAGCTAGAAACATTGACCATCTGCCTCTTGCACACCCCCTACTGGGGATGTGCCCGCAACCAAGGTACATGCCCTTGACCGGAATCGAACCTGGGACCTTTCAGTCTGCAGACCGACGCTCTACCACTAAGCCAAACCAGTTTCGGCGACATATTTAAATTTTAACTAGCCTCTTGGAGCTAGTGTCTATCAGACTAGACAGTGCAGGACTGGAGTACAGGGATCAGAGTCTGGGAATCCTCCTCTCTGTAAAAAATCAATAAAATATATTTTTTAAAAATTTAAATATGTCATTTAAATTTTCAATGTACACATTTAAAATTCAGATTCTCAGTAGCATTAACCATATTTCAAGTGCTCAGTAGCCATATTGGACAGCACAAATGTAGAAAGTTCTATTGGACAGGGCTGGTCTCTGAGCTGTGGTGTCACCATGAGTTAACAGTGTGAGAGAGGGGAGGGGAAAGAAGGGTTGAACATGGTCACCACTAAAATTCCTTCCTCTCCTTATTTTAAAAGCCCACAAAGTTATTGTGTGAACGTGAGGAGTTGGAGGAAAATACCCAAGACAGAGCTCTGGGAAGCAAAACTGCTTGGATGACGAGCAGCTGGTCCCTGGACACAGGAGAGTCAGGAGTAAGAAAAATCCCGAGCTCTCAGCAGCCTATGTGTTTGAAAGGAGAGGGGGTAAGAAGAGTGCAGAGATAACAGAGTTGTAGAACTGACACTACCCACCTGACCCTAAGATTTGTGATAAAGCTACTGTAATCAAGACTGTGACTAAAATCACAGTCTTGATTACAGTATAGGCAAATAGATCAATGGAACAGAATAGAAAGCCAGAGATAGACTCTTATAAAGATGGTCAATGGATCTTTTACAAAGGAGTAAACAGTGGCACAAAGATCATCTTTTCAACAGATGGTCCCAGAACAGCTGGACATCCACATGCAAAAAAAAAAAAAAAAGAATTGGGACACAGACCCAGCATCCTTCACAAAAATGATCTCGAAATGGATCACAAATCTAAATGTAAAATGCACAAATGATACAACTGCCAGGAGCTAGCACAGGAGAAGACTTAGGTGACTTTGAGAATGGCAATGACTTTTCAGATACAATACCAAAGACACAGTCTGTCAGATATTTTCTTGACTAATCCACAGGCTCAGCTCTTTGCCCCTTTGTGCGGGCAGGAGGGGACTGCTCCTATTCTTGGTCTGTCGCAACCAGGGGGACCAAGGGAAAGGAGTATGATTTTGTGGGTGCGTGAGCTTCAGCTCACTGCGCCCAGGCAATCCCTCCCCAGGGATTACAGTCTGAGAGCTAAGCTAAAGAAAGTTCAGTCATTCCATTGAATGTAAGTTGTTGCGTTTTTTTGTTATAAAATCTCCTTTGCAGTTAGCACTATATGTTGTTGTTGTTGTTGTTTTAACTTTTAAAGCAATTTGACTGATTTATATACAATGAGAAACACACCTTTTAAGTGTGCATTTCAGTGAGTTTTTTACAAATAAAGAACTCATTTACCCATCCCCACAATCCAGACACTGAAAATTTCTGTCTCAGCAATGCCCACTCTCCGCCCCTGGCCCCGGGAAATTTCGGGTAGAAAGTTTTGCTTTCTGTCACTGCAGCTTAGTTTTGCTTTTACTAGAGTTTCATAATAATAGAACCATTCAGCATGTGCTTTTCTTTGTCTGGCTATGTTTGCCCAGCACAGTGTTATTGAGATTACCCAGTTGCATATACTAGTTGATTTCTTTTTGTTGCCAGATAGGATTCCGTTGTGCAGATTTATAATAAACAGTACATTCATCTTTAGGTGAACATTTGGGTTATGAAGATTAAAATTGTTAACCATACAGGCCCTTTTTGCAGACATATTTTCATTTCTCTTGTAAATATCCAGAAATGAAATTGCTGCGTCATATGGTAAGTGTATGTTTAACTTTGTAAGAAACTGCAGGAACATATTGTTTTCTTCTAAGAAAATTGATTTTGGGGGGAGCGGAGGGAAGGGAGGGACAGGAGTTGTTGTTTTGCCTCTAGTATTGTCTGTACCTCTCGTTTCCATGGGATTTTGTAGACCAGATACCGTAGACTGTCTGAAAACAGGGCGGTGTGTTGATGGCTGTTTGGTCTAGAAGTTCTGGGTTAGGGTCATGTTCTATCTGGGTCAGTATTGAGTTATTGCTCATGCTAAAGAGACCAGACAGGCTAACCACGGCAAAGTTTAAACAAATAGTATGGGCTCTTTGGAAAAGAGTGTATTTCAAGGCTGTGGAGAAGGCTGTATTTGCACCGAATGAGGAAACTGCTAATCCTTAAGAATGCAAGGTGCGTCCAGCAGAAGTTGTTCCCCGTAGAGATTGATGGGGAACTTCTAACCTAGCTCAGTCCTTACCTTCCTTGTCCTCTTAGGGAGAGAATCTGGTGGCCAGCTCAATGCTGGAACTACTGAGAGTTGTCCTGAGGTGCGGGTAGAATAGGAAATCCTTGCCTCAGGGCCAACTTCCGCTTCTAAGTAGTATAGCATATGGATATGAGATACCAAACCTAATCCGTAAATTGAAATATATAAGAAAGGTGCTTTGTACTGAAAATAATAGGCAAACATAAGTTGCTATTCATCCATACATTAAGGAATAGTCAATCCACATTGCTAGTCTTTTCTACCTTTTTTTTTTTTTTAAGTAAATATGCTTATGATAGAACTCAAATTTCTGATCACCCTTTATTCAACTGATGATCACATTTTGTGTGCTTAAATGCAGGTGTGTACGAGGCAGTGATCTCTTAAATATATTCAAAGCAATTCTGGTTTCCCAGACAAGTAGATTTGGAAAATGCTGTGTTGCAGTCTCTACCTACTGGTTGTCTTGTGGAAGCACCCTAGTGTAATGAAATTTTCTATTCCATTAACCCTGTTGGCTAGTATACGAGTTATCGAATGCACAGATTTAATAAGTTACCCACAATTTAGCAGCTTAAAGTCACACACATGCATTATCTCACAGAATCTGTGGGGTAAGAATCCTGGCATGGCTTAGCAAAGTCTTCTGCGTCAGTCGCTTACAGAGATGCAAGCAGGTGTCGGCCACAGCTGAGGTCACACAGCTTTGGACAGAATTTGGGTCCTTGAAATCTAGTCTGGGAGCCCCAGTTCCTCGTTGGCTGTTGGCCAGCGGCCACCCTCAGTTTCCTGCCCTGTGGGCCTGTCTAACACGGCAGCCTGTCTCATCAAACAGGCAAGCCCAGGGGTCAGTCAAGAGAGTCTTCTCGCACGATGGGAGCTACGATTTTATGTAACCAAATCACGAAAGTGACATCCATCACCTTTACTTTATTCTTTTGGGTGAAAGAAAGTCATAGACCCCCCTACACACACTCAAGGAAAAGGGTATTACCCAAAGGTGTGGCCTCCAGGGACCATCTGTTTGTAGGGGTGGGTTGCAGTCAGACCTGCCTCCCTCTGAAACCAAACACATTGCACATAGTTGCCTGGAGACGCCAGTGTTAGGTAAACAATTCAACCACAGACATAAAAATGAGTGCGTGAATTTGGCACATATTATAAGGATGATCCAGAGTTGTTGACTCTCCTAGACTTATTCTTATAGGAAGTGGATAGAAAAGATGGACTGTCAGTGGGATTTTTCTCATATATTAAGGACAGAATCTTGCACAGTGCCTGACCCGAAGGAGGCCCTCGGTAAAGCTGTTTGCACGAATAGACTTTGTTTTCAAAACAATAGCTTAACTCGGCCCTATTGCCCTGCTTTTGTAAAAATATTTTATAGCCTTCATCTTGAAATGAAATTTATAAACAGGATTTACCTAGATGCATGATTCAAAACATTGATAGGACTTAACTGCAATGTAAAAGTAAAAACAGTGATTTATAATAAAAGGAATGGTTTTTAATATGTAAATGCTCCGAAGCGAAGTGCTTGCTTCTGAATTTAGATTCACTATTCATGACACAGCTGTAAATACAGACTGAAACTTGATACTTGATACCACGTGTGCCACGGGCAATGTGATTTTTCCAGAAAGATGGACGATTCTTGGAAACATTCCGAACAGAGCAAAAGAAGATTCGTCCCAGATATTATGCAGTCGTTGCTCTCCTGGGAAATTCAGAACAGATTCAAATTATGCAAAAACTGCCTTGTTTGGGGCTCAGTTTAGGCTCAGGTAATTATAAGGTTTCATCTGCAGGCATAGGACCTTGGAAGGCACGAGGACCTTGGGACCATTAATTGTCCAGGACTTGGCTGTACGTAGTAGCAGAATGAATGGCCGGGACCCGGCACATTCCCTTACACACACTCCCCCAATTCCAGGATTGCCCTGCAATTATTCCCACAATAAAAACACTCCCGTGGATTCCATGTGGAGCAGCACCACTCCCCATTGAAAACCTCTGCAGCGGGGCTTACCCTCTCGGGGAAAGGAGAGTGATGCAGTCCCTCTGGTTTGGCTGAGCATGAATATCAAACCAAAGGAGAGGAAGTAAAAATTGGGGCACTCAAGTTTGTATTGTGGCCCAGCAGCCCAGGCATAGGTGGGTGTCTGGACAAGCAGAAGACCATAGTAATTGCTGGAGAGAGGATGTGAGGCTGTCAGGAATGGGCCTCTGAAAGCAGATGCTTTCAATGCTGAATTTTAAGAATACTGATGAAATGCTTCCTTTTTCCAACAGAAACCTGTTTCCCTCAAATCTTGTGGTTGCCACTTTTAAAACGGTAAGGCTGGATGCTTTGCTAAAACTATGGACCTTGGATGGGGGTGGAGGTGGTATAAATTATTGCCATAGAATTAGGTAAGGTGTTAACAAAACTTGGTAACATCGGTCCAAGTTTCATAGATGGGCCCCTGGAATCAGACACACAAAACAAAACTCAGTGTTTTTCTAAAATATCCCACTGGTTTCAACATCTTTCCACATCACCTGAGAAATACACTCCAATCACATTTTGGGGCTCTCTTGAATATTTTAGAATATTTTTCAAGTTTATATTTTTTCGGGTTATAGGGGTCGTATATACTCATTGCAAAAAGAGTAAAAGTAAAGTACAAAAAAGTAGAAGAAAGTAAAATAATCATCCATATTCACCACCTAGAGCTACCCATGAACATTTTGATGTACATCCTTCAGATCTGTTTTTTTTCTATTATGCATGCCCGTTTTAAAAATAATCATACTAAATATGTTGTTTGTAAACTCTTTTTATAATTTTAAGATTTTTAAGCTTTTTCTTTTGTTGATTTGAGAGAGAGAGAGAGAGAAACATCAATTTGTTGTTCCACTTATTTATGCATTCATTGGTTGATTCTTGTATGTGCCTTTTTTTTTTTTTTTAAATATATATTTTATTGATTTTTCACAGAGAGGAAGAGAGAGGGACAGAGAGTCAGAAACACCGGTGAGAGAGAATCATCGATCAGCTAGCTGCCTCTTGCACACCCGCAACCAAGGTACATGCCCTTGCCCGGAATCGAACCCGGGATCCCTCAGTCCGCGGGCCGATGCTCTATCCACTGAGCCAAACCGGTCCTGGCTCTTGTATGTGCCTTGACCGGGGATCAAACTCACAACCTTGGTGTAGTATCAGGACGACGCTCTAACCAACGGAGCTACTGGCCAGGATTCTCAAAGCAGCATATTGTGAAGATTTTCTCATGTCAGTGAATAATCCCCCTGCACATGTTATGGGTTGTATTCCACTCTGAGTGTCCCCTGATTTTACTCCATCAGCCTCTTGTTGATGGACATTCGGGTTGTTTTCAATTTTTCCCTTATTTGAGCAATACTCTCAGTAACACCCCTGTGGCCATGCTTTACACAAAGAACAAATATAAAGGTCTAGATTAGATGGACTAACCTGATTGCCCTTTATAAGCAAAGACTTTTCTGTTTCTAATTATAGCCTCTCTCTTTAAAAAAAATTTTTTAAAAATAAAAACAAAACAAATTTGCATAAAAGCACAGGGTTGGCTTCTGTATAACACATGAGGTAGGAGGAAAATAATAGGTATATGGGGTTTCAGGGCCTGTCTCATGTGGGGTGAGTTTTGTTTTTCCTGCCATCCTGGTCACAGGGCCGCTGAACACCTCTGTATGTCTGAAAGCTTGATCAGTCAACGCTGCGAGAGACCAGAGCTCCTCAGAGGCCGGCATAAAGCAGGCCTCCGGGTCCGTGCCTCCTAACATGCTGCTCTTGAGTGTTCAGAAGCAGCTGTCCTCAGAACAGGCCGGGAAGGGTGTTTCATAACAGATTCCACTCGATCGTGCATGCTGCCACTGGAGACGCCTGTGTAGAAATGTGTGCAGTCTGCCGTAGCACAAAGCTAGAGAGGTGTTTCACCTCAGGGAAATGTATCTCCCAGGAGACTCAGCCAGGAAACACCAGCTTGCCTGGCATCCTTTGCTTTGGAGAGGGGAGGCTCAGGCCAGTTAGAAATGGATTCTGAAAAGCAGTCATAGTCAAACAAATTCTGGAACAAAGTGGAGAATAAATAAACGAATAAACGTAAGCGGAGACACATTGAAAAGTGAACTTGGGCCTTATGAAATTAATACCAAGTTCTCCAAATACCATGAAAACCAGCTGTTTGAAATATCAAGCTCTCAGCATGCAGTTGGGTAGGCCGACCAACCGTTGTCCAAGCAGGATAAGGAAATTCTCCCTGGGTCTCTATCCAACCCAGAGGCCTCTTGTAGTACATGCTGCCTTGGTCTGAAGGTACTTTTGTGTGGTTCTCAGAGTCCCTTGTCAGGCCAACCAATTGAGCAATGTCCTCTGACACTCAAAGTGAAAAATGACAGACTAGCAAGAGGCTCAGCTATTCGCTCCCATCTTCTCCTGTGCCCTGACAGTTATTTTTCTTTCTCTCACAGTATGCAACTGATTATAAAATGGCCCTCCACAACATGAGCAATGGAAACCTAACTCTTGAAAAGGTAAAGCTCTTTGTAAGATCACTTGAGATGAATACTTACCAAGTAAAAAATGCTTTTCAATTGCAGGAGCCCACACAATGCATCTTTCCCAAGCAGGGCTGAAAACTTAGGGGTTTGGGTGGGCTATTCAAAGCACATGGACTTGGTTTGTTTCTTTGGTTATTTACTAACATGGCCAAAGGCTAGTGTCTGTAGCTTTGGCATCTTTAGTGGATCTACTTCATCAAATTGGGACTAACGTCTCCTCTCAAAATATCTATATATATAAAAGCCTAATATGCTAAGTGTCCGACCAATTGGTCGACCACCAGGAGACAGATGCTCCAATGGGTAGGTTAGCTTGCTGCTGGGATCTGGCCAATCAGGACTGGGCAAGATGGGCTGGACCTGCCCTTGAGCCCTCCTACAGTCCCTCTCCTGCCAGCCAACCTCCCTTAGTCCCTCCCTGGCCAGCCAGCCCCCATCGGCCCTGATTGGGCCCCAATGATCACTGGCCAGGACAAGGGACCCACTGGTGCATGAATTCATGCACTGGGCCACTAGTATTTTATAAGACCCTTTGCTATCCTGAAATATACCTAACTAAAGGCCTGGTGAATGAAATTTGAGCACAGGCGATGGGGAGATGGAGGAGGGCCCTCAGCCCAGCCTGCACCCTCTTCAATCCAGGACCCTTTGAGGGATGTCTGACTGCCTCACACAATCCAGGACCACTAGCTCCTAACTACTTTCCTGCCTGTCTGATCGCCTTAAACTGCCCCCCTGCTGGCCTGATTGCCCCTAACTGCCTCTGCCTCGCCCCACACCTGGGACCCAGGATTTCCTCCTCCAGCCGGTCGTAGGCACCCAGGCTTCCCTCCCTTTGGCTGGCCATAGGCACCCAGGCCCTGGGCCAGCTTCGCCCAGGCCTGCCGCAGCCGCCAGGGACGGCGAGCGGGCAGCTTAGCCAGGGCCACAGCTATAGGTGCCTGGGACCACGGGGCGTGCAGCTTGTCCCTCTCCTGGGCTGCAGCCTGGCTGGTCCCCATTCCTCTCTCACGAGCTGATTTGTGCCTGGCTGGTCCCCACTCCCCTCTCCCCAGTATTTGATGTCTGAGCCATTAAGGTGTGAGGTCGTGATGACCATTTGCATATTAGCTCTTTATTATATAGGACTAGGCACCTGTTGCAGGAATATTCCTGCAAGACTTCCTCCACCTCTACATCTCGCCCTGCCCCACCCCCCATGGGCTGCCAGTGTTTTCCCTCCAGCAGCTACAGCCACCTTGCTTTCCACTTTCCCTCCCTCTTCTTTCTTTCTTTCTTTCTTTCTTTCTTTCTTTCTTTCTTTCTTTCTTTCTTTCTTTCTTTCTTTTTTTAAAAATATATTTTATTGATTTTTTACAGAGAGGAAGAATGAGGGATAGAGAGTTGGAAACATGGATGAGAGAGAATCATCAATCAGCTGCCTCCTGCACAACCCCCACTGGGGATGTGCCCGCAACCAAGGTACATGTTGACCAGAATTGAACCTGGGACCTTTCAGTCTGCAGACCGATGCTCTATCCACTGAGCTAACCCGGTTTCAGCTCCCTCTTCTATGCTGTCTTCAGTCTTTACTCCTCCCTCCCTCCGTGTATGCAAATTAACTGCCATCTTTGTTGGGTTTATTTGCATACCTGCTCTGATTGACTGGTGGGTGTGGCTTGTGTAGCAGAGTGATGGTTAATTTGCATATTAGCCTATTATTAGGTTATATAGGTGATTTACCGTACCCCTACACATAGAACTTGTCTTAGGGGCTTAACTTACTCTAGCCATTATTCATTCATACATATATTTTGAGTACCTATTGTTTCCTAGACACTGAGCAGAAAGGGACAAGGGACTACAAAGATTATTCAGTCCAGCCCCAGAGTGGTCTGGGAAGAAGCGGGTACTTTGCCTTTTCCACACATATACCTCCTCAGAGCTGAGGGGCTCCGTGTGCTGCCAGCCTTTCAGTGATTGAAGGAAAAGTTCCACCCAAAAAAAGAAAGTTGAAAGCTACGAATCGAATCCAATTCACATCATCTTGCCGACGAAGAACCTGAAGCTCAGAGAAGTTATTTAATACCAGAGCTGGGACCAGAGTCCGACCAGAGCTCTGGTAAAAATGCTCTTTCTGTTTCTTACCATGCTGATTGGCAGGTTCCTGTTCAGAATTTCATAATGTGTTTGATGGAGTAAAATGCCTGCCTAATACGTATTTGTAGCCGTGAGATTCAGCATTACTGGGAAAATTAGGTACATTTTACTAATCATTTAAAGTCAGTGATTCAGGAACAACTATCCTGAAGAGATCCATGTTAATCCTGAAAAATCCTTTGGGAAATTTGTCAGCTCGGAGGCCATCCTAACAGCCTCGCAACAAAGAATTGTTGATGTTTAGGAGGTGACGGTACAAGAATCAAGATCGATTCTTGATCTGAAGGGACTTTTCAGCCACAAGCTCTTTTAAAAGCAGCCCTTTGAACCTCTACCTGAATGTAACCAGTCCCTGGGAGCTCACTGCTTTCTGCTTCAATCCATGCCGTCTTCGAATAGCTTTTAGAGTTAGCAACTAGGTGAAATGTTTGTCGACTTTCTGCATCCTTACACTGCATCTCCCCCTTCACTTTCCTACCCCTGGGTTTGTGAAATCACTTAAGATTAAAGAAAATGCCAATCTTTCCTCATTCTGGGCATAGCGTTTCAGCCTGGTGGAGACACGAAGCAAATGCGCCTTCACAATCACAGGTTGTAAACTTGGACCCTATGTCCACTGTCCTGCAGATCCCGATTGGCACCGAGATCGAAGGGATGAACATTTTAGGATTGGTCCTCTTTGCCCTCGTGTTAGGAGTGGCCCTAAGGAAACTGGGCTCCGAAGGAGAAGAGCTCATCCGTTTCTTCAATGCCTTCAACGAGGTGACGATGGTGCTGGTGTCCTGGATTATGTGGTGAGTATGGCTGCCCTCCCCCCAGCTGCCTACCCTCCCTCTTATCTCCCCTCCATCCAGAACAGAAACCGACTCTGCTGTTCAAGGTCACCGCTGGGTCACCACCTGGCCCAGGGCTCTGTACATGGTTGGGGCACCCAGGTGAGTCCTGGTACAGGGTGTGATGGAGGTGGAGGCAGTGTCTCTTCCTGTCCAGGACCTCAGAGAATCAGGCATGGGCCATGGTTACCGGTTACTTCCTCTGCACTCACCGGGACTCCTTATGGTTCTATCCTCGGTGATCTATTTATGGGTTTCTACCATGGTCTCCTATTATATGTGATGCTCATAGCATCTTGTGGAGCAATGAATTTCAGAAGTTTGCTATCCTCTGTGAAATAAGGCTTATGTTATCTAAAACTGATACTGTAGATGGACCTAAAACTTCAGAGGGGGGCCCTTACTATATCGTATTTCACTACAAGGAGGACAGCTTCACGCATATGTAAACTTGGAATAGTCTTTTTTGTGTGTGTGGGTTGTTTTTTTGTTTGTTTGTTTTACCTAAATGTTTCTGTAGGTAGTATTGATGAAAGTGTAATTGTTTAATACAAAATTATTAGATTGGTTTTTGGCTAAAAGGTACAATTTTGACCTGATCCCTCAAATCATACCAATTCCCATGGTCATCCCTCGTCAGCTTCATCCTGCTGTTTCACTCAAGCCAGATTTATGTGGATTTTAGCTTCTGTCCACTCATTATCAGGAAACTAGTTTGTCCTTTCACGTACAAAGCCTTTTCCTAACTGTCAGTCCTTAAACATCCCAGAACTTCTCTCTCTCAATGGCACTGGGGTGGCAGCTGAGTTCTTAGGAGAGAATTTGGTGGGAAAGTCTGGAATTGGGTGGGAGGCCAAGTCCAGAGCCCCTGCAGGTGGTGTTTCTTTTGCTCAGCCCAATTCTCTTGCTCAACCAGCATTCCAGAGGCTGGGTCTTAATCATTGCAAACATGACACTTTGTTCATATGACTGTTGTTCTGGGGAGAGAAATAGTTCCAGGAAGGAAAAGTGTTGTCATCACACAGGTCAGGTTCTTTTCCTGGGTTTTGTTTGTTTGTTTGTTTTGTTTTGTCTAAAATCTTCCCAAAGTTTGGATGAAAAAAGACATGGTCACCATAGTGACTAGTAACCACACTACACAGAGGTAGATCTCCTGCCAGGATCTGCCCCCTAGTCTTCACTTTTTTTTTTTTTTTCCTTATGAAGTATTACTTACAGGAAAGTACTTTGGAAAAGTACTTAAAACATGTGCACAACTTAATGAATTATCACAAAGCAAACACTCATCCAGATTCAGAAACAGCACTGGCCAGCACTTCCAGAGGTCCCTCTAGTCTCCTCCCAACCGCTGCCCCCTCTGTCCACCTGAAGGAGGGAACTGACCTGGCTTCTCACCCTGCAGACCTGAAAGGTCACAGGTTTGATCCTAGTAGAGGGCAGCCGATTGATGTTTGGTTCTTACATCGATGTTTCTCTCCCTCTCCCTCACTGTCTAAAAATCAATTTTTTTTAATTTATTAAAAAAAAAAAAGCCAATGGTTATAAAATTCTTCCTCAATTGAGATTAAATTCAAAACAACTGACTTTGGTTCTTTGTAGCTCCCCTGGTTTACTACTTCCCGTCCTTCCGTCCATCCTGCCATTAAAAAAAAAAAAAAAAAAAAATCTCCACGTCCAGGAGTGTCCCCAGAAGGGGACACTCATCGTTAATGACTTTCTCCCACGGAATCACGTTTTCCAAATCACAAGGAATTTTAAGCCTCACAAAAATCCCAGCCTCGTTTCAAGTCTACAAAACAGGTGTTAAGTCTTTTGTGTGTCGAAGTTTTCAGAACAAGCCTGAGCAAAGCTAACAGTCAGACTGCATTCCCAGCGGCTCTGAGCTTGAGCAGTTCCTTGCCTTCCCCTTGGGAGTCCCTGTGTTTGGTGACATCCGCCTATTAAGAACATCATATATCCCAGGGGAAAGAAGCCTGGGTTCTGGTCCCAATTCCATTACCCATGGAGATGTGACATGATCATTTTACTCAGTTTCACAGTCTGTACAATGGGCACATCCCTTTCATTCTCAGAGTCATCGTAGGGCAGTGGTCTGCAAACTCATTAGTTTACAGAGCCAAATATCCACAGTACAACGATTGAAATTTCTTTTGAGAGCCAATTTTTTTCTTTAAATATATTTTATTGATTTTTTACAGAGAGGAAGGGAGAGGGATAGAGAGCTAGAAATATCCACCAGCTGCCTCCTGCACACCCCCCACCAGGGATGTGCCTGCAACCAATGTACATGCCCTTGACGGGAATCAAACCTGGGACCTTTCAATCCACAGACCGACGCTCTATCCACTGAGCCAAACCGGTTTCGGTGAGAGCCAATTTTTTTTTTTTTAACTTAAACTATATAGGTAGGTACATTGTTATTCACTTAATTAGGGTACTCCTAAGCTGGCCTTTGCAAAAAACTCAAGGGCCAAAGAGCTGCAAGTGGCTCGCGAGCTGCAGTTTGCCGACCTAGGGGAAATGACGGCAGCCTAGTTGAAAGTCCTCGTGGTGTGTGGGGAAGGGCCTGCGTCTCCCAGCCTCTACATCACATCACTCTTTCTGATGAGTACCTTGTGCACATGCCCTAGGTATGTTCCTGTGGGCATCATGTTCCTGGTTGGAAGCAAGATTGTGGAAATGAAGGACATCGTCATGCTGGTGACCAGGCTTGGGAAATACATCTTTACATCTATCTTGGGCCATTTTATTCATGGAGGAATTGTCCTGCCGCTTATTTATTTTGTTTTCACCCAAAAAAACCCATTCAAGTTCCTCCTGGGCCTCCTCACACCATTTGCGACGGCATTTGCCACCTGCTCCAGGTGAGTGGGTTCCGGGTGCCCTTGGTGGCTCTGAGCTGTGTTGATAGGAAACCAGGGGAGCCCGATGGTAGAGGCACAACTGGCCTCTTAAAAATAATTATTGGAAAACTCTAAATGGGCCTTATCGGGCTAATCCAGGGGGAGACAGGCTTCGGAAAGGGCAGTGCTAGTCTCTGTGCGGGAGTGTTGCCATGGCCACGGAGAGCATCTGGAGATTGACATTCAGCAGAGACGCGGTGTTGAGTGAGTAGGAGAACAACTGGACACAAAACCGTATCAGCCCCACAGCTCTTAGGGAAGTGGATTTCTGGGATTGCTGAAAGGAGGAAGTGCATTGCTGCTGCTGCTTCTGGCTCCTTGACAGTCAACCTGATCATTATTTGGGCCATAGGATAAGGTGATCAGACGTCCCACTTTTGGTGGGACAGACCCAATTTTTAACAATTTGTCCCGCGTCCCGCGGCGTTTTTTAAAAAGTCCCGATTTTCTTTCCAAAATCGGGACTTTTTAAAAAACGCCGCGGGATGCGGGACAAATTGTTAAAAATCGGGACGTCTGGTCACCTTACCATAGGAACTGTGGGTCCTCACCCTAATTAGTAAGCCCTTTGCCTGAATAAAAAAAAAAAAAAAAAAAAAAAAAAAAGCATTGTAGGGAAGTTTCTAGAATGTTACCTGTCCAGTTCTCCCTCTGGATGCATGCCTTAGAAAATAAGACCAAGGCATCATGGTGAGGGATGCCGCTCAGCTCTCCAGGAGTATCTAATTTAGCATAAAAAAATGTGCCTGTTATTATTGGAAATCTTTCAAAAAAAAAAAAGGTCGGGCGCTTTCTAAATACATTAAAGAAAACTTTCCAAGGATGGCAGCACATTGTTTCACTCTCATGTGTAGCCTTTGCCTCACCACTGCATGCTTCCCCCAATCCCGAAGGGCTAGTCACATGACCGGGGAGGCGGAGGGAAGGATGAGGGAGGTGAGGTTCTCCGGCTCAGACAGGAACAAGCCTGCTCCTCAGCTGCGCCACCGCCCTCCTCGATGCCTGCAGAGGCCGTCGGAGAGGACGGGTTCCGTTACCCAGACATCTGTGAACACAGTTACTCTCTCCACCTTCTCAGAGCCCAACAGAAAAAAAGAAATCACCTTGTACTTTATTTTTTTTTTGGGGGGGGGGGCGGAGGTGGGATTCAAAAGAGGAGATGCACATATGGAGTCAACAGTTCTTTGTTCTCTTGAGAACCTTTTGTGTCACAAGGTACTGCGAGGTTCTTGAGACGTTTGGAGCAGGTGCATCTGGGTAAAGACACAGCAGGTCAATGTGGGGGGTCTGGTTTTGAATACTCTGGAAGCTGACAAAACCCCAGGCTGTGACAGAAACGTGGAAACCGTCGTGCTTTTCCTTTTATTCTCGGGAAAGGGAGCCAGCAGCCCGGGTGGTGCTCGTGGTTTCCGTCCAGGCCCCACGCCGAGCGATACGTGGCCCCTGGAAGCCCTGTTCTCAGGGTCGGCCGTTTCTCCATCCCCAGCTCCGCCACCCTCCCCTCCATGATGAAGTGCATCGAGGAGAACAATGGCGTTGACAAGAGGATCAGCAGGTTCATCCTCCCCATCGGGGCCACCGTGAACATGGACGGCGCAGCCATCTTCCAGTGTGTGGCCGCTGTGTTCATCGCCCAGCTCAACAACTTCGAGCTGAAGGCGGGGCAGATCTTCACCATCCTGTGAGTTCCGTCTACCCTCCGCACCCTTTAGGCCTGGATCAGAACCTGAGGGATTTCTTTTTTCTTTTAAAATTTATTTTATTGATTTAAAAAAAAAAATTTTTTTTTTTACAGTGAGGAAGGGAGAGGGATAGAGAGAAACATCAACCAGCTGCCTCCTGCACACTCCCCACTGGGGATGTGCCCGCAACCAAGGTGCATGCCCTTGACCGGAATCGAACCAGGGACCCTTCAGTCCGCAGGCCAACGCTCTATCCACTGAGCCAAACCGGTTAGGGCTATTTTACAGAGAAGGATAGAGAGTTAGAAACATCGATGAGAAAGAATCATCGATCAGCTGCCTCCTGCACACCCCCTACTGGGGATGTGCCCGCAACCAAGGTACAGGCCCTTGCCCGGAATCGAACCTGGGACCCTTCAGTCCACAGGCCGATGCTCTATCCACTGAGCCAAACCGATGAGGGCCTGAGGGATTTCCTGTGATTTCCTTGGGGAAATCCTGATAAGGACCAATCCCACCCGCCAGCACTGGGCGTCTCCGTTATGAAGTGAGCACAGTGGGATCCCACCACTTGGAGAGAGTGCGTTGTCTCTCGGCAGGTTCAGCCGGCAGGATGGCGGGTGACGTGGCTTTCTGTTGCCCCGCCGTGGCTGCCTGCCACGTTCCGCATCTCTCTGTGCCCCCTCCGGGCTCTGTGCTCACGGTGACCCTGCTGTGCCATCCCTAGCGTGACGGCCACGGCGTCCAGCGTCGGAGCGGCAGGCGTGCCGGCTGGAGGCGTCCTCACCATCGCCATCATCCTGGAGGCCATCGGGCTGCCCACTCACGACCTCTCCCTGATCCTGGCTGTGGACTGGATTGTGTAAGTAGCAGGTCCTGAGGGCATCGAATGGAGGAAAGTCTGTATGGAGCTCCCTAGGGGCTCGGCACTCGGCTGGACCTGAGGTGCGTGGAGATACTTCCCTGCCTTGGGAAGGAGCCCACGGTTGAGCTGGCAAGACAACACTTAGAGCTGGGACAAGTAAACAACATGAGTCAGAGGCTCCTGGGTGACCATGAAATGTTATTACCGTGAACTCGCTTAGAGCATCCGGGAAAGCATGGGACTCGGGGTGGGGGTGGGAGGCACTAAGATCTGTGGGAGTTGTTGGTTCTGCAGGAGTCATAGCCGTGGGTGCAGGGAGCCTTTGGGAAGGACAGTCCTTGGCCAGCAATGCCCCGAGAGTGGTTTCTGTGCGGAGAGGGAAGGTGAACGCAGTTCCTGGGAATGCCTGGGGCTCAGGGAGGAGGTGTGAGGAAGGAGGAGTGATTCAGGCTGCCATCGGCAAAGCTCCTGTAGGCAGAGAACAGTTTCTGAGTGTTGATTCCTGGAGTTGCATGATACCTTTTTTTAGGTAGGGACAATCCCTATGTTACAGGGAAGGTTAGCTAGAAGGACTAGTGTTGGACAGGAGAGCACGTGGATAAGAAAAGGAGCCTCCGAGTCCAGGGACCTGGGTTCCAGTCCCAGCGGTTGCCATGACTAGCCGTGTGACAGGACGGCCGGCTCACCTGTGAAACAGGAACAGTCACAGAACCCACACCGGAGCTGTGGCGGAGACTGGGCTGGCCCACGCACAGCGCACGGGAGAGTCCCAGGCCCGTGGGAAAGCGGGGCACTTCCTCTGAGCTCCGGGTGGGAGGATGGCTATCGGGCTAATCCAGGGAGAGATGGGCTTCCGGAAAGGGTGGTGCTAGTCTCTGTGCGGAGTGTTGCCCCAGCCACGAAGAGCATCTGGATGGAGATGGACGTTCAGCAGAGACGCAGTGTTGGAGTAGGAGAACTACTGGACACAAAACCATATCTACTCTATCGTCCACCTCAGAGGATGGCGTCTTTAGACCCACAGTGCATGCGTAGAAAGAGACTGGAAGGAAACCATCAAAATGGCAGTACTGGCTCCCTCAGACTCGTGACATGGGGGGTGACTTTTGTTTTCTACTTTATACTTATCTTCCCCCCCCCCCAAGTTTTTATTTTTATTTTTAAAATATATTTTATTGATTTTTTTTTTTTTTTTACAGAGAGGAAGGGAAAGGAAAGAGATAGAGAACTAGAAACACCGATGAGAGAGAGACATCGACCAGCTGCCTCCTACACACCCCGCACCAGGGATGTGCCCGCAACCAATGTACATGCCCTTGACCGGAATTGAACCTGGGACCTTTCAGTCTGCAGGCTGACGCTCTATCCACTGAGCCAAACCGGTTTCGGCCACACGCCCCAAGTTTTCTACAATGAGTATCTATTACTTTCCTAAGAAAAGACAATTGCAAGGAAGGCCGCTTAGAGCAGCGAAGCCTTAAGCCCTTAGCAGCGTGCACTCTGGGAAAGAGCAGGGCCCACAGGGTGACTGCTTCCCCACGACCTTGGCCTCTGTAGCGGGCCGCCCCCGGGTGGCTGCGGGTAGCATTGCCTGGACCGCCCGCCTTTCTCTTCCCACCAGGGACCGGACCACCACGGTGGTGAACGTGGAGGGGGACGCCCTGGGCGCAGGCATCCTCCACCACCTGAACCAGAAGGCGATGAAGAAGAAGGGGGCGCAGGAGCTGAGCGAAGTGAAGGTGGAAGCCGTCCCCAACTGCAAGTCGGAGGAGGAGACGTCGCCGCTGGTGACACACCAGAACCCGGCGGGCGGCCCCGCTGCTGCCTGCGCCGTGGAGCTGGAGTCCAAGGAGTCGGTTCTGTGACGGGGCTGGGCTCCCCGCTTGCTGGCCTGTGGCAGTGCCCACCACCCTCACCGACTTTAGCCTCCAGGCAATGCGCTGGCCAATCGCCGGTGTGAGGATCCCTTTCTCGGCACAGGCAGTGGCTTCCCAGCCAGAACTGGCTCCTGAGGACTAAGGTCACGGACATTCAGCTTGATTCCCCCATCTAGATGCAACCATGTGCGTGCACCAGGGTCTGTCGGAAGCACGCCCTGGAGCTGCCAGGTTGGGGGGAGACAACAGGCCTGCGGGGACCTGACGGTCAAAGCGTGGGAAAATACAGAGGGGCCCTTCAACGGCACCCTGCCACTGCTTCCCAGGCAAACGTAGGGGGTTTGCAGTCATCTGTCACATTGCCTTGCTTGTGAGCCTTCACGACTGGAACATTCCCAAGATCTTCGCCTTGAATGGAATTCGCTGAGCTGGGACTCTGGGTGTTACAGTTTGTGCTATAATTAGGTGCCGCTGGCTTCTGGTTCAAGGGTTGCTGGTGGACTGGCGGTGCTGCACGCTGTCAAGTTAGAAATACTCCAGACGGTGGTGGGACGGCTGGCTTCTCTGGTCAGAGGCATTGAGTCAACACTGAACGCTGAGATCAAAGGAAAAAGCAGGAATGCAGTCTGCAGGAGGAAGAGAAGCAACATAATCATGACAGGATGCGCACACACACACACACACTCACACACACACGTCCCCTTTCTCCCCCGAGCGGCTTCATGGCCTGGGCCTCTGACAACCCTGTGGCTTCCTCGTCATCCACTCTGATGCAGGACCCCGGTTGGTTTCTCCATCTACTATTTTTTGTTGTTGTGAATCCTCTTAAGGATATTTCTCCTCTCCCGATTTTTTAGAGAGAGTAGAAGGGAGGGGGAGAGACAAGAGACACATCAATTGGTTGCCTCCCACAAGCGCCCAACCAGGGCTGGGGATCGAGCCTGCAACTGAGGTACGTGCCCTTGACCGGAATCAGACCTGGGCCCTTTCGGTCTATGGGCTGACATTCTTACCACTGAGCCAAACCGGCCTGAGATTTTTTTTTTTTTTTTTTTTTTTTTACCTAAGTGATACCTCTTCACGAAGCCCTTGGTCTTCAGGTGAAGACACCTTTACGAGTGTGGCTTTGCTTTCTGTGCATTAGCCACTTCCTCACGCTCTCGTTCGCTCGTTCTCTGTGCAGTTAGTTCCTCAGCAGCAGCAGAGGCAGCCTCTCCTGATGTCCTCCAAGATCTCACGAATTAGCGATCTCACCTGTCATTGCATTTCCGGTACCGACTTCCCTGTGTGTCCCAGACCCAGGAACCGTTCCTGCCACCCCCCAACAGGCCATCAAAGCCCCCTCAGCTTTCACCCTCAGCCATTGCCTTGTTTTCCCTGTGGCTGGGGTTTTGCTGTCACCCAGGCCCTGGGTGACCCATTTTGTGATATGTGTCCCATTGCGATGAGTGTGGGTGGATGGGACAGAGACGGTCAAACTCCTCTTTCATAAAATCCGAGGCCAGAGCCGAAGCAGAAGTGATGGGGTGGGGAGGAGCCATGAGGCACTGAGCTGACCCAGCTCCCCAACATCTTTAAGCCAGCTAAGCCACGCCCCTTTCCTGTGAGGCTTGGAGTGACCAGGAACTGAACTGAGCTGAGGTGTCTCAAGCCTTTACCTACCGGCTAGAGCTTGCTGATTCCCTTCCGTTTTCAAAGGGGGAGACAATCACATGGATTACAAACTGCAAGTGGACATTCACTGCTTCTCAGGCTTTCGTATAGTTTGTCTTTCCCTCTTCCATAGATCTATGGCTATATTTTGTGTGTGTGTGTGTGTGTGTGTGTGTGTGTGTGCGCTATAGATTGTGCAAGTTTGAGCTTGGATAGAGGTGAGCTAACTGCAAGTTGAATGGCTTTGACATCCCAATTTTCCTGTTTCTAACGGTGGGTTTCACAAAACAAGGACATTAGAGCTGCACAGTGAGACCCGTTGCCCGCACGCTGTCTATGCTGTGCCTGGAAATGCAGTACAGAGGGTGCGCGTCCTGAAGCTGGATTCTTCCCAACGGTGATCACGCCCCTTCCCCCCGGGACGGAGTAGGTGCTGTTCTCCGGTCTGTCTCTCCGTGCACAAGAGCAACCAGACCGGGAGTGACCTGGCTGGGAAAAATCCCACTCTGTCTGAAGCTGTCTCCCCACCCCGATTCTCTTGTAACTCCTCCTAAGTACTGTTCAAGTGCCGTGTATCTGTTCTGTCTGTGTGACATTTGCCTTAAACATAGCAGTCTTCAACAATGAACACACTATTTCTACCAGGATCTGCACCTTCCTTTCTTCCTGTCTTGTGTGTTGAACTGGCATGTCCGAAGGGGCGCTCACTGGGGAAGGGCCTGTGGGTGACGGAGGTGATGGATGTTCTAGCTGTTGGCCAGCAGCACCCCTGAGGCAACTAGGCCCGTTCTGATGGGCAAAGCCGCTGCCGGGCCAGCACTGATTTGGCTTCCGGCTGGTGGTGACCAGCTGCTTCTGGGCATCTCCCATTCTACACCAGCAGGGCTCCACAAAGTTAAGTTCTGTTAAGACCACGAGGTCAGCGGGCCTGGACTGAGCACTGTGGTGAGCCAAGCACTAAGCTCCATAGAATTACTCTCTCGAGTCCCTGCATCAGGCAGTTCCGAGCCTACACCACCATCCCCGCCACACCCACCCTTTCTTTTATATATAATCCCATCTCAAGTGACGCCACATTCCAGCACAATTAGGGAGTTTAGAAACCTCTCACAATGAGAGAGTATCCTACAAGCTCACACTAGAGGCCAGTTTCCACGCCCTGGGGCTCCTGACGGGCCGAGTCCTCATCTGGCCTGGACGTTTCCAGCTCTTCGTATTGTACGGACAATGTGATTTTAATTTCTGGGTAAGGCCCAGAGGGATGAGGAGGGAGTTTGCCCAGATCGAGGACCTGATGGGGCTTGTTGCTAATGAGATGTAGGTACCCGCTGTGGGGCACAGCTGCCCTGATTCTCTGTTCTGGAGCGTGTTTGAGGCTGAGATTAGTACGTGGTGGTTCCGCTCTCACACAGCCATATCAAGAGGAGCAATCCTGTAAGCTGCCTCTCCCAGGTGCGCAGTAAGCACTGACCTGTGGGGTCACCTGAGCCTGCTCAGAGAGACTTCCGATGACATTTGTGAATGGCATAAGCCATGTCCAGTCCCCGCTTTGCCACTTGCTTGCTTGTGACCCTGGGCACAATAGCCTCTCTGTGCCTTAGTCTCCTCGTCTTGAAAATGGGAACATTAATTGTACCAATGGCATAGGACATTGTGAGGAGGAAAGGAGTTCATGTAAAGTGTTCCGAAAGGCACCTGGTACGTGGCACATACTCTGTCAGCCTTGGCTCTCCAGTCAGACACGGAGTGAGCGGCAGGAGAGTTTCCCAACCCGCCTGTGTCTCTTTGCGTACGAGCCCACGTGGCATGCTCCTGAAGAGACAGAAGATATGTTTCCACTCCTGGGCTCCTCTGCCGACCAGGCCTGTGGAGTAGGGGAGTGGGCCCATTTTGGACCTGCGTTCTAAAAATATTTGGATGACGGCTTAGCAGGAACTGGGCTTTATGAACAGTTGTCAGGATGCATGTGAATGCCCTCATTCTCAAGAGAAGCCCTCCGCACGAGCCTGCCTCTCTTCAGCTACCTCCTCCCAAGTTGCAATCCAGGAAGCAGCACCTCCCAGCAGTGCCCAGCCTTCTGGAGAGGAGCGAGCTCTCCTGGCCCAAGGTGGACCCCTATTTACCACACTCTGAGGTGGGGGGGAGGGGGAACAAAGGCAGGCTGGGTTGCGGGGGCTCTGGTCTGCCTCCCAATGTCAGGACCCTCCACCTGCAGCCCCTTTACTTGGGGCTCAGTGAGAGAGTCTGCACAGGGAGAGGGAAGAGCTTCATTCATTTGAAAGCAAACGTTCGCCTCTTAATAAAGGAAAACAGCCATGCGTCCTCACTGGTTTTTCAGCGTTTCAGAGTAGAGCTGAGAATCCTAAAATGTATCAAATCAGTCTCAAACCTGATTTCCCCCCCCCCCTCACCCCCCCCTGAAATAATATATCTGTTGGGCGGGATTTTAGCTGATTTAGGATGATTTGGAGCAAGACCCGAGACGGAGATGATAGCTTGGGGCCTCTCAGGGTGGTTTGGAACAGATGAACGACCTCAGGTCTGAGGGCACAGCTGTCCTAGGCTCCGCCTTCAGGGAGAAAGACAATCATGCCTGGAGCTCAGAGTGTTCCTTATTTATAAGGACAGTTCCAGGGGTGCCCTGAGGCCAGTACAGAGCATCTCTTCACTTTTTAAAAAAAATTTTTTTAAGATAACTATTGAGATCTAATCTGCACACCATAAAATTCACCCTTTTGAATTGTATAATTCAATGGCTTTTAGTGTATCCAGAGTTGTGCAACCACCACCACCATCTACTTCCAGAAGCGTTTCGTCACCCCCAAAAGAATCCCAGGCCACTGGGAGCCACTAATCTACTCTGCTTGTATGGATTTGCCTCTTCTGGATATCTCACATATACACCGAGTGGCCAGATTATTCTGATCTCTGAATGCATAATAATCTGGCCACTCAGTGTGTGTGTGTGTGTGTGTGTGTGTGTGTGTGTGTGTTTGTATTAGAGGCCCAGTGCATGAATTTGTGCATGGGTGGGGTCTGGCCAGCCTGGCCAAGGGGAGGGCACATGGGCAGTTGGCCGGCTTGCCTGCTGGTTGAACTCCTGGTCAAGGGGACAATTTGCATATTAGCCTTTTATTATATAGGATAAACACTGAGTGGCCAGATTATTATGATCTCAGAGATCATAATAATCTGGCCACTCAGTGTATATCTAGCTGTTTCCTTTTATAAATACATCCCAGATAAAGAGAACGGATGTTCAAAAAGTAATCACCGTCCACCTTCACTACACGCACTCTTCCCACACACACTCAAAGGAGATCCTATAAAATCTT